TGAGGATTTCTGCTCTTGCTTCTCCCCCTGCTAGATTCTGGAATCACATTTGCTTCGGCTTGGCTAGGGTAACCTGATTCTTTCCTCCTAGCCTCTTCATTCAAAAGACTAGCCTTGACCATCTCCATAGTCATCTTGCCATCCGGAGCAGAGTTGCTAAGTGAAACCACCAATGTATCCCAACTGTCGGGCAATGAGGAAAGCAACAACAAAGCTTGAAGTTCATCCTCCAACTTCATCTTCATTCCGGCTAGTTGGTTTACCACACCTTGAAACTCGTTCATGTGAACTACAATGCTATCACCATCTTTGTATTGCAATTTAACAAGCTTCCTAATCAAAGAAGCTTTTCCCATAGCATTGTTCCTCTCGTACATGGATTCATGTTTCTTCCACATCTCAAAAGCATTGGTTTCATTAGCAACATGTTGCAACACACTTAAAGAAACATATTGTCGGATTGATGCAATAGCTTTCCGGTTCAAGGTAGTCCAAGCTTTCTCATCAACACCTGTTGGACGTTCTTTATACAAAATTGGGTCAAGCAAATCTTTAGAGCATAAATAATCCTCAATACGAATTTTACAAATTGAATAATTCGTAGAGTCCAAACTAACCATTCCTTGAACAATTACTTTGTCATCCATCATAAACAACACAAGAAGCCAACCAAAAATAATCAAGCTCTGATACCACTTTGTTGGGGAAGCACGGAACAAAAACACAACGGAAGCGTATAAAATCTTTTCCCCAAACTAATGAGATGAATAACAAGCACAATAAACTCTGAAAAATCAGCAGCACACACACAAATAAATGGCAGCGATAATAAAGTAGATGACAAACGATTTACGTGGAAACCCCAAATCGGAGAGAAAACCACGGCCGCTCAACAACGGCTCCCAAACATCCACTAATCACCAAGAATCAAGTGGGTACAACAAGTTCTCCTCTCTAGTAAACACTAGAGGCATACACAATCATCAAGGAGCAACCTTGGAACAACAACAATCAACAATTCACCATAAAATGGAGTAAAAACTCCCAAAAACGCAGGTCTGAAAACGCAACCAGAAAACAGCCTTCCGGGCATCAAAACGAGAAACTGCCTTTTGGATATGAAGAGGAGTGTGTGAGGAACATCATACTAAAATTTGAGCACGATTCGACTTCGTTTGGCCTTCGATCCGGAGGTGAAAAGTGGCTGCTGCACTGTGTGGCGAGAAATCTGTTTTTTTTCTCTCCCTCTTTCCTGCGTAGCTACTGCCAGTACTCTCTCTACACCTCTTCTTTTTTTTTTATATTTAATATATGGGCCACCAAAAAAAACAATTGGGCTAAAACTTTACACACAAAAATAAGCCCAAATGTAAAAGAGAGATATAATGTGTTGTCCAATTAAAATTGAACACTTCCTCCATGCAGGAGGAAAATTTCCCAACAGTTTCGACTTCATTCTTGAGTACCGAATCTTAATGGATTCTTGTTTTCCTGAAACACTTAAACAAACGTTAAGCTCTTATATTGTTTGTTAACATCAAGACATGAGGCTTAGCAAACCAAGGCTAACAATCTCTCCCTTTTTTATGTTGACAAACAATATACTTCAAAGTGAGTTAGGCGGGAGTAAAATATTGAAGCAAGCAAGCTCCCCCTAAGAACAAGCATATTCAAAATACTCACTTTGAACTTTTTCTTGTGTTTATTAAAAGTTTAAGTTTACACAAGAATGCACTCAAGTCAAGTTGCGCATATGCACCACTTTGAAGTATACATCTTCTCCCCATTTTGTCAAAATCAAAAAGGGTATTTTGAAAATTTTAGCCATGTATAACTTCTTGAAACCCCCCCCCCCTATCAAAATGATTTTTTAGGAAAAATGATAGTTTTGAGATCATTGGGCAAAAGGTGCATTTACAACGAAACTTCCCCTAAAAATGAAATCTCCCCCTAAAATGATGCAAGTTTAAAAATTTATTTTTCAGGGATTTTTGGGGATTAAAAAGGCATGATTTAAAGATGATTTTTTTTTAAAGAAAAATTTAATCATGCAAACCAAGGCTAAAGCAAATTATGGGATAAGTTTTTATTTTTGAAAAATATTGAAAGCAACAAAAAAATTCTTATCCCAATAAGTGAAAAAAAAAACTTACCTTGGCTTTTGTCGTTCTTTCTTCGACTTGGAATATACTTCTTTTTCTTTTGATTTTCTTCGTCTTGAGTCTTCAAAAAATTTCCATTGGAGAAAACTCTTGTATTTCTTCCTCATTACTCTTTCTTCGTCTTCTTCATCACTTGACGAATTAGAGTCATCGGATGTTTCATCCGTTTCACTTTACTCATCATTTGAGTCACTTGAGTCATCACTAGACTCCTCCTTGGATGCCTTGAACGCATTGGTTCGTTTTGGATCTTCTCTCAAATATTCTTCTTTCATCTTTATCATCAAAAGCTCGTGAGAATACAAAGAAGACCAAATGTGGGCGGTGCTTTCCGTTGCACATTTGGGTAAAAGATCTACAATACTACTATGCCATTCTTTTGGCAAAGAAAGTAAAATTTTAGTATTTAGTTCACTTGTAGAATATTCCTTACCCAACTTACCCATCTTNTTGACTATTTCGTTGAACCTTCTATTTGCATCTTGGATTGACATATGTTGGCCAACTTTGAAACTTTCATACTCCGAGTTTCCGAGGGCCAACATTGTTTGCTTCGTGGAGGTGTCGCCTTCATGCGTGGCTTGAAGCAAGTCCCATACCTCTTTGACCGTTTTGCATGAACATACTCGTGCAAACTCATCGGGGCCGAGAGAGAAATGGAGAATATTGATTGCCTTTGCATTCATTGATAGCTTTCTTTTATCCTCCGGAGATAATCCTGCAAGATTACCAATACTCGGCACAAATGGCATGTGAAGTACATTCAACCATAAATCAAAATCAATTGACTGAATGAAATATTCCATCCGCATTTTCCAATAAGAATAAGTTTGACCATTGAAAAACGGAGGGCGGTGGATGCTTTGGGAATCTATTTGGGCCATATTACAATAAATTTGAATTTAAAATTGGAAAAAATAAAAATATTGAGATTTTAAAAATTCAAATTTAAAAATGGACACAACAAGTGGATCTTTGTCGTAGATGCGGTTAAACACTTTCAACTACGAAACCGCTCCGATACCAATTGTTATTCGGTTTAGTCGTTGTGCCCACGCCTTAGAGGGGGGGTGAATAAGGCGTTTAAAATCTTTTCAGAGTTTGATAAAAACGGTGTTGGCAAATGCGGAAGCAATATATAAAACGCAGAAATAAAAGCGTAAATAAAATGCACACCGATTTTAAACTGGTTCGGGAAAACCCTACTCCAGTACCTCGAGGCTCCTCCTCAAGGATTTCCGAATCCACTAAGTCCCGGCCTCTTGAACTCCGTCAAAGCACCGCACTAGTTTTGGCAAACAACCCTTGCCAATAGGATTTACTCCGAGATTTCACAACGGCTATCTCGAACCGTTTACAATGAAGATTTAACGGCTATCTTCTACCGTTCCCCCAAGGATTTCAAAGGCTGTCCTTGAACCTTTACCCAAGGATTTATACGGCTATCTTTGACCGTTACAATGTGAGAATTTAACGGCTATTCTCGACCGTAAGAATGTGTGTTTGATAAAATGATAAAAAAAACTTAGCCGGTGTAGAAGGAAAGTATACTCTTTCAAAAATACAATTCAAACTTATGAATATGAGAGTATATAACTAGAAACACAAGCTCAAAGTGTGTGTATAAAAATCAGGAATTTAAGGCTCTTAAAATAGCCAAAATATTGAAAATAAATAATAAAAGAATGAACACACTTAGAATAAAAAAGAGAGGATGTTTAGAGTTTTGTTTCTTGAAGAAATATGAAGGATTAGGCTTGTATTTATACTGGAAGATGTTAATTAGCCGTTTGGATGTGATTAGTGGTGATTTGAATTTAAATTGGTAATTTGCTACAATGATTACAACTGATCCGGTACCCTTCACGGTAGGGTCTGTACCGTCCGGTACCTAGGTGCCGTTACCACGGTATAGCCTACCGTTTGGGGGTACCGTGTCTTCCAAAAGTTCGGTTCGCCTCTGGCGGTACCTGGTTAGGACGGGTTCGGCCAACCGTCTACGCCTACCGTCGGTACCTAGGTATCGTTACACGGTATGGGGGTATCGTGTAGGCGGTATACCCTACCGTGTGGGGTACCGCTAGGGGTACCGTGACTCTGTTCTTATTTTTCTAAAATTCCCTTAATCCTTCGTGTTTGAGTTTAAAACCTTTTAGATATTTGAAAATGTTTATGTGATGGTTTTAAACATATTTTGTGAGTGCTTTTGAGCTTGTGAATATAGGTATATAAAGTCATATCCTTACATTGGTTTCTGTTGGAAAACATTTTCACTTTGACATTTGGCTAATGACAATGTTTGTTTCCGTTTAGGTTTTGATATTGACAAACCGTCGGGAACATGGAACAAAATGAAAAGATTCAAAGAGATAGAAAAAGTTTTTTGAAGAAACAAAAAGCACAAGGCATTGACGCTGCTAAAGATGGCGACATTGGCGTTTTGAAGACGTATTCTAAATACTTAGGTTTTTATTGTAACAAGCTCATTCAATTTCTCTACGTCATGGCTCAAAACAAAATATGTTTTTCATGCATCAAATGAGTGTTTTCATAAATGGTTTTTATGTTTCTAAAACCCATGGTTCTTGCTTAACAAAAACCATAACCATTGGTTTCGGCGTTCGGCTATGGTGTTCGGGTTTCGGCATTGGTTATTGGCATTGATTTTAACCAAATGGTTTTTGGGTTTTTATCCTTGGTTTAAGCTTCTGGACACATTAAAAGGTTTTCCAAATCATTAGTTTTCAAAAACCATAACCTTTGTTTTTTTGGCGTTGGTTATTGGCATTTGGCGCTGGTTATCGGCGCTGGTTTTTGGCGTCCAAATCAATCAAGCGGTTTTTAGTATTTTATGATTGGTTTTTACTTCTGGACATATCCAAATGGTTCTCCAACAAAAACATGTTAAAAACCACCTTTCATTTTTGGTCTTTTGGTGAAAACTATGTGAAACGGCATAAACTTGGCTAGCCGTGATTTTTACCTTAAAGAAGTGGTTTTTAAGTTTTTATACTTCGTTTCTACATTAAATACATTATATAAGAGTTTCCAATACTTGGTTTTCATTTTGGAGAACTTTGGTTTTTGACATCGGTTTTCGGCGTTGGCTGTCAAACCATTGTTCTGGCGACCAGGCCCAACATAGATGTAGGATCTTGAACATAGATCTCTGGACAGCGATGTTGGTATTTGAACATCTATGTCTGAACAGCGATGTTGAGATTTGAACATCTATGTTTTGGCCAGATTGGCTCACGTAAGTCTTGGGCAGTAGGTTTTTGAACAGCGATGTTCATTATTGAACAGCGATGTTTTCAAATGACCGTTGGGCTATTTAATACAAAATCTTTCCATTTTTGAAAGTCAAACACCCCAACATCGATGTAGACTTCCAGACATCGATGTTTTGATGACCGTTAGCCATTTTTAAAGGAAAGTCAAAGCCAAAACAGCGATGTTCCCTATATGAACAGCGCTGTCCGGCTAGATTACAGTAGATCCACTTTTATTTGATTTCCACAAATCAAGCCAATCAACCCCAATCTTCTCCCAACCATTGCACCTTGTTTTTGGGTATAAAAAGGGGTCTCTTGGGTCTACTTTTAACAACCATTCCTCACACATTTCATAGCTTTACATTGCTTCATTCCATAAAATTTTTACATAGATTTTTAGAGCCATTTCTTGAGGAATTGAGTGTGTTCTTGATCTAAATTCGTTTACTCATATTATACTCTTTAAGAGAGTTTTTGTTCTTGAGTGGTTAAGTGTTGTGAACACTTTAAGGGAGGTTTGTTCCCTTGGTTGTACGAAGGAAGGGCATATTCCTTCGGGTTGAAGTCTTGGAGTGCGGTATCTCCGAGCAAGTGTATTGAGGCTCGTGGGACTCGA